CATCAGGAGAGGAATATGCACAGATGAAAACAATTCTAAACAAATATGTTGGTTAATTTTCATGTGATGGACTTTTTTTCGGGAAGAAGCATAATTATGGATTATAATTGAATTGGCACTTTAACACTAGAACCGCCAGAGGTCGCTGTATACCTAAAAGCGCCAGCGGGTATAAGATAACCCATGCTATGAATGACTAAAACAGCCTATAGACAATAATGAGCAATAATTCACCACACTGCATAGGATGATGCGATGACAAATAAACTAAAAAAATAAACGATATGGCAAGACAAAAATTAAAGGTTACGCTTTACTTGAAGGGGTGTGCATAAGACTGACATGACACCTTCATAATCATGACATGACACCTAATCACTCATGGCATTTAGTGTTTCTAATACCTACCTTCCATAAATCGCCTTTTTTTTTGTCATTTTGACTTTGTTTATGAAACTCATAGCCGCTAAATCAGTGAGTGAAAGGAGTTGCCTAATGTACAATGTTAAAACATAAGCGGCAAGAAAATAACAGCGCGAAAATACATGCATTATATAGCGGGTAAATTTCACCCGCTTGCGCTTATAGGGATAAATGCCCCGTTTTTTGATCTGGTTTTATCTAAATAATTTTTAACAACATTGGATTGTAAATTACATAATTTTAGTAAAAGTCAATGACTGGGAGACTTGAATGTTTAATTTTAAATCTGTTATGTACATTTGAAAAACAGCCAGGGGTAAAAATTTACCCCGTGGTGGTTCTAAAATGCTTTTCTTAATGTATTTTCACTTTACAAGATGTTAATTGATGGACTGCAGTCATGTAGATTACTTGTGAATTATTGTGATGTTTTTTTTTTAATCAGCTGTTTGGACTCTCGTTGGCGGCACCCATTCATCACTCAGGATCCATTGAGTGGTGTAATAGCTACTACATTTCTCCAAATCTGTTCCCATGAAGAAACAAATTCATCTGTATCATGGATGGCCTGAGGGTGAGTACATTTTTAGCAGATTTTCATTTTTGGGTGAACTATTACTTTAATACTGCTCAAGGCACTACTACTCTATCAAAATTCATGTCTTGGGCAAAAAGAACAAAGAGTAGGATTAGACTCAGCCTGGTGCGGTGGGACTGTCTCTATAAAACCTGCTAAATGAAGCCATGGTGTGAATGTTTGTACACATAGGGCCACCTGGGTCACCTACAGGTATCATCCGATCTTGATTCAGATGGAAGTCAACAGATGGAATGCTTCTGGGCACTAAAATCTTTATGGGCACGATCACAAGATCATTACGGGCTGTCTGACCACATGGCCTCAATCAATAACGTCGCACTCTCCTGAAATGAGTTGGAAGCGCATCAAACACAGTCTTGTCCTTCACCTTCAGAAACAAAGCGCAATTGCCTTCATTTGCGCAGCTGACGGTTCTCAATGATGTTCAATTAACTCAAGTGTGTGAGGTGCTAAATAAGGGTTTCTTATGTTAAGTTTTGGTTACATCAACTCATGGTCAGTGGATTTTTCTGGGAAATAAAGCTAACCATTTATTAGTTATTCTGACATTTATGATAGATAGGATTTAAATCACAATAAAAACGGCCCAAACAAGCTATTTGTAACAGATGAGAATATATTTAATTTCAATATTCAATTAATTAAGATGGAGACGAACAATAAAATAGACACAGCAAAGCAATTAAATATTTCATTATACGTCTCCACATATTTAATGCAATATTAGAAGATATCACCTCATGGCAATTTAAATAAATAAAAATAAACAAATCCCCCTTTTCAAACTCATTTATTTGCTCACCAAAAGCACCCCATGGGAGATTCAAGCAATTATTTTGCTTCTTAGAAGGAATTTCATTTTGTTTTAATTTCACTGTTTACTTGGCTCACGGGATATTTCATACTCCACTACATGCACAGTCACACTATCAAAACCCCATTCTTCATCCAGTAATTGAATCTCCATTGGGTGTGCATTCAGAGAATTAACGAGAACTAAATGTCAATCATGTTGTGCCAATGCAGTGTCTGTTGGTGATTGATATCTTCAGGAAGCAAGCGAGAGGAGTTGGTGTTCTACTAGTCTGAAATCAAAAATCAATGATATGTGGTCAGAATGATACCTACCATCATGCTCCATTTTATCAGCCCTGTGAATATCTGTTTGACATGTTGTAGATACCTGCTATATCACTCCACCACCAGCAGTGAGGTGCCATGCTTAGTCATATAAAGACAACTACCAAAAATGAACACCCTTTTATTTAATGGATATTATATGATTTTTTTTTTTATCTTTTAAAACTATTTCCAACAGTCACACAAATATCAGTCAGTATATTCATATTACTATGATTATTATTATCATCATCATCATCATCATCATTTGAAACTCTTTATTTTGAACAGTCTGGCAAATTGCAATCAATATCTTTTATAAATGGCCTTGTATGCTCATAATAATGGCTGAAGTACAGTGGGGACAATATTTATTTGATCCCCTGCTGATTTTGTAAGTTTGCCCACTTACAAAGAAATTAAGGGTCTGTAGATCTTGCACGGAGCTCCAGACCGAGGCCGATTGATGGTTGTTTTGTATTTCTTCCATTTCCGAATAATCGCACCAACAGTTGTCTCCTTCTCACCAAGCTTCTTGCTGATGGTCTTGTAGCCCACTCCAGCCTTCTGCAGATCTACAATCTTGTCTCTGACATCCTTTGACTGCTCTTTGGTCTTGCCCATGGTGGTGGGAGAGGTTGGAATGGAAGATACAGATCGTGTGGACAGGTGTCTTATACACCTAACGAGCTGACATTAGGAGTAACTTCTTAAAGTGGCAGGACTATTCTGTGTTCCACATGGGCCCATAACCATCTGTGGGAGCCAGAATTCTTGCTGGTTGGTAGGGGATCAAATACTTATTTCACTCACTGAAATGCAAATCAATTTCTAACCTTTATATAATGTTTTTTTTTCTGTATTTTATGGTTGATATTCTGTTTACATCCGTTAAAATAAACCTACCATAAAAATGACAAACCCTTCATTTATTTGTAAGAGGGGAAACTTCCAAAATCAGCAGGGGATCAAATAAATATTTTCCCCACTGTATAAGGAACAAAATGTACCTGACTGGACCTGAATAAAACATGAGGCAACGTAGGGCATCTGGCTATAGGCCAAAGGGGCAGGACAGGCAAAAATAAGGATGCCGCTCAGTCTATTAATATGCACTGCATACATCAGGCTCTTTACTCATCTTCAAAACCTAAAAACAAACTTCTGAGACAAATTAGTAATCATAACTTGCATTCTCATGTGCTGCAGATGTAGGTCTTTGCATTTTTTTTAAAGAAGCTCTGAAATACCATTACAATTTATCACGCATTCAGCTGTTTTTTTTTTTTGCATCACAGAGAGTCACAGCGCAGCTCAGAAATAACTTCACGGGGACCACCAAAACAGCGTCAGCTCTGTTGTTTAGATTTTCAAAGACATGTTGATGAATCATACAGTCTGTCTCTATACTACATCTTTCTTGTTTTCTGGGGGAGTATTTTCCCTGCCTGATATGCAAGCATTCCTCTGGTGTTCTGAATATACTTTTATTGCATATTTCCATTTTCCTGCAGCTAAAATGTCTGATTTGTGGGGACCCTTAAAATACTTACATTTGTATAAGTACCTAGTCTTATCCTTTAGCTGAATAAAAATTGTGGTTATTTTTTTTTCAAGACATGGAAACCTGAACTTTAATTAATTAAAAAAATTATGTATTTATTGTATTTTATATATGTATATAAATACATACACATACATGTATATATTTAAGAAAAATATGTTATGTTTATATATTAAATATATTTATATATAATATAAATTATTTGAATATAAATATACATGTAAATACATGTAAATATTTTCAAAACATATAGCTGTATGTGTGTGTCTTTATATATACATAATAAATATGCACAGTACACACACATATATTATGTAAACAAAAACTTGTATTTTTGATGCGATTAATCGTTTGACAGCACTCATTTTTACATAAAATGTTTAAAAAAAATAAAGAACATGGTATGTATTTGATTAAAGTATTAATATTTTCTAAAACCCCATGTTGAAGACAATACATAATTTATGTATTCTGATGTAAGCCATGTAACTGCATTTTAAGCCCATTATTCAAGTTAGTAACGTCTGTCTGCACTTATTTAATATAAATAATAATTGTATATATAGACCTACATTAAATAATGGAATAATTAAACATACACTCACAAAAAGCTGTCACTGGGGCAGTACCATTTCAAAAGGCTTCATATTACCTGACCTTAAGTAGCCTACATATTAGTACCTAAAAGGTAACAGCCCAGTGACAGCTTTTGTACTTTTTTTTTTCCTGAGAGTGTATTTCTGAGAGTGTATTTTAATGGATACAAATGAAAGCAGAACAATTGCAAACAATTAAATGACTGATATCAATAATTGAAACAGGACTAGAATGTACACTGAATAGACAGTCAGAAATAGCTAGAATATATAGAAGATAGAAGCTAAATAATTCCTTATCATATTCTGGGTTCTCTTGGACTTAAACCATTTGGGAATTAAGGATCCTTGTGCTCATACTGTGCTTTCGTTGTCTGGTTGAAGCAAGACATTCTCATGGATTAATTTACTGCTTTAAGACTAGGTACGTTTCAATTAAAAATGGGTTATTCAAGTTACGTCTGTCTCTACTTAGTCAATATAAATAAAAGCTATAAATAAATACAAATAATAATTATAAATAGATATAAAAATAGTTAAATTATAAAAGTGCTATACATTTGCATCTATCTGTATCACACACACATTCATTCACTAAAACAGTATATTTCCGTTAGCCTACACTTCATGAGACGCAAATACACCTCAACAAACAGGTGGTCAAAACCTCATTTAGTAATTTGACTTAAGTACTTACGTTTAGTGATTCGGAAGTCTTCGCTTCAGCACGGTTTCCCTGATAAAGAATTCCCTACAACTGATGGAAATGACGGAGCGTCGGTGTTCGGAGCTGCTCGCGACTGCTGTAGTTCAATGCTTCTGATGAGAGCGCGAGAGATTCAGCTAGTGCGTGGGAGCCGCGCGCCGCGGAGCGCCTGACAGGTGCTTAATGAGAGTGAAGCATTGCTCAGCGATTACATCGACTGAGTCCGGTTGAACGAGAACACGTGATATTTTAATGATCATTTTCTACTACTTTTTATTTTCTTGTTCTTTTTCTATTAGCCTACTATTTATTTATTTTTCTTTTCTTTTTAAGCTCCGTCAGCGAAGGGAAATTGCTTTCTTAACAGTGTCCTAAACAAATTTACAATGTATTTGGACATAGTGTGTTAAGATAAGATATATGTGTTGTAGTGATCATTGGGTCCTGTGGAGGATTGGAGGATGCTATCCAAGGTCCTCCAGGGTGGTTCAATAGGCTATGATTCATTTTCAGCCAGAAAACCTGCAATCTAGCTGTTATGTAACCGGTGAAGCTCAGATAGACATACCTCAACAAGCAGAACAGATCCCGCCAAATATCAGCACACTCAATAAATGAAAGGGTTCGTGCCTCATGACAGCCCGTGGTGCATATTATAAAAATAAACTCTGGTAGGTCTAGAGCACATGGAAGTAATGCATTCTAATATATGTGCATTTTTACCCAGAGTGAAGATGGAGGGAAGATTGCGCCTTAATAGAGGCAAACGAAACCATGATTGATCAGGATGTTTTGCGCACATCAAAAGTTTCGCTGCAGATGTTGAAAGAGGAAATGTAGAGAATGGGAGGTCAGAGAGGCAGGGAATTGGATTTCTAATAAGGCAGGGACAGAGATTGGGAACTGAACAGGATGAGTCTCTATAACAAGGCCAGGGCTTTCTTAAAAGACGGGAAAAATAGACCAAGACACAAAAATGATTGAGTGAGGGATATAAGCATGAACAGGTGGGCTATACTGAGGGAGAAGGAGATGGGAAACCTTTGTGATGATGCTCTCTCACACGGCTTGTCACTTTTCACTCATTCTGTCAGTCTTTCCCTGGAGCAGAGATTCGTCATTATAGCTTATCTCGGAAATAAAAACCCCATTCATCTGAACCCTGTATAAAAGCCAAAGCTAAAATTCCTCTAGTGGAACAGCAGTTTCTGTAGGCTTTGTTTACAGCAGATGTCAAGTCATTTCGTTTAACCTGTGGAGGATTAGTTGTTTACGTCAGGAAATTGTGTCGGTTCAGCTTTGCCTCCAGGTTAAATGCACAGATTCCCACATAGAAACATTATTTTTGTTTGCTAGAAAGTAAGCCTTTTGAAAGTTTAAGCTTGGGAATGTTCTTGGAGGAATTACGGACCCAAACCAGAAGATTGCCTCAATACTCATTTACTCACCCTCATGTCATTTAAAGCTCCTTTCCACAAAGAGAAAGTTTTCAAACTTTCCCCCAAATCTGACAGCATGATACCCTTCCTAAAATATAAAGGAAGCTATACATTTCAATGTGTAAAGACTAGTGCTATCAAATGATTAATCGCGATTAATCGCATCCAAAATAAAAGTTTTTGTTTACATAATATATGAATGTGTACTGTGTATATGTATTATGTATATATAAATACAAACACATGCATGTATATATTTAAGAAAAATATGCTGTTTATATATTAAATATATTTATCTATAATAAAATAATATAAATATATAAATGTATATACATGTAAATATTTTCAAAATATATGTGTGCATATTTATATATACATAATAAATAAACACAGTACATACTCATATATTATGTAAACAAAAACTTTTATTTTGGATGCGATTAATCGCGATTAATTGTTTGACAACACTAGTAAAGACCCATTTATACTGTGTAAAAATGGAAAAATGATAATGTCTATGTGCTAAGGTTCAAGTAAATCCTTTTTTACCCTGCTAAACCTAAAACCTATAAGCTTTTAAGTGATGACTGGACTGAATGTCAACTGTTACCACACAACTGTGGGATTTGTGGCCTTTTGACCATACAAAACCATATATCTGCCTAAATGTGTTTCTGATCCTTCTTATTTCTCTTTGTGACGTACCACATTAGCCTACATCACCATATTTTCTAAAGTGAAATGGATAAATTCCCTGAAGGTCAAAATAGGTGAGATTTAGCTTGTATCTTTTTCATAAAAGAAGTGGCTCAAGTTCATGCTATGTTTTCTAGCTTCAGGCTCTTTACATATTTGTAGAGTTGGAAGATTTCACTTAAGGACTGATCTTCACACAAAGACAAGTATTAGTCATGAGAGGCGGCAGAGTCCTAAAATCAAGCATCACTGAGTTGGAAACAAGAAAATGCAATCCATAGAAAGACACTTTTGATACTCCTGTGAATCTCTTTGGTGTCTTTTATATAAATACTGTATGCTATATGGCTTTATCACTTTGTAATAGTCATCATTTACTCACCCTGTCATTCCAAACCTATAGTTTCTTTTTTTTTTTTTTTTAAGAACACAAGAAGATTTTGAAGAATGTTTCATGAATGAAGTCAATGGGTTTGTTCAGGCTTGTATTGATGCACTTGTTCTGAAATGACAAGATGAAAAGGTCAAAATATAATCTCAAATCAAATCAAAACACAGATTTGTCCACAAATACACAGACTACATAAAATATGTTAACATAAATGCCAACTAAGTCAAACCGTTCTCACATGTGATCAAATATTAAATCTCATATAGTGTACAGACAAGAACAGTTGAAACATTCTTTACAATATCTTTATTCATGTTCCATAAGAAACAAAGCCATCAAGTTTAGAATGACATGAATAAGTAAGGTCTTCCTTTAAGTTTAGAAGTGAAATATGATTTACTTTGCTACTCATTTAGACAGGAATGTGCCACCTGAGGAACCAACCACTTTATTTTTTAACATGATGTTTAACAGTTAAAACCAAAATTGATGATACCAGAATATTAGGGGCAGCTGATTCCAGTATTTCATACAGCATAGCAGTCTCTATGAATGGTTACAGACAAAACTAAAGAAAAAAAAATGTCTGTAAACTTTTTGTCAGAATTTCTGTTTATCAAAGAAAAATGTAGATATTCTTTCAAGGACACATCTGTTTTTAAAGATATTACATTCGTTTGGGATTTACTTACTCATCTTCTAAAGTTTCAATGCCATATGAATCTCAACAAATTTTGCCAAATAGAGTAAGTAGCTGTTTCTCAGTCTGGTACCTTGTAAACAGGACTTGATTCAATTTAACACGAGTGACCATAAAGATATTTATAATGTTACAACATACTTTTATTTCCAATAAACGCTATTCTTTTGAACTTTCTATTCATAAAAGGACCCTGTTGCTGAAAATTCAGCTTTGCCATCAAAGGAAAACAATACATTGTAAAAGCAAAAAGTAATTTTTTAAACAGCAATATACTGACTCATTGAAATTACATAGAAGCCAGCCAAACAGATTTTAGCTTGGGATTTTACTTGCCATGTTTTTATGTAATCAAGACGGCAATTCTTGGGCCCGTTACAAAACCGTCATCGCAGGCTCCCTTAAGCACGGCTCGGCCCCTTATCGGCAGCTTTGTGTGTAATATTCATCAGATGGTCGGTGAGCGGCCCGTGGGCAGGCCGTCTGAGGCTGAGACAAGTTTAAGCTGAATGAAACACAAATTGGTACAAATTAGTTCTACAAACTTGGTGCAATCTGGGCTTAAGTGCCTTATTCAAGAGGCTTATTTCACAGGTCACTTCTATCTTGAACCAAACCTGTGATATTTACATCACACGCCCAGAAGGGCACTACATACAGCATTTATCATCATGTCAGTACTGAGACGAAATGACAAATAACCAAGCAATATCTTAACCATAAGGCAGCATTGTCGGATAGCATAGCAATGCATCACACTTTTTATGCTACACCACATGGAACTGAAAATAAAAGCTGGGAAGAAAAGTCCCAATGGATCCATTTTTGTGCCGGGATTCCTGCCTTTTGGGTGACACCATTTGACATGTGAAGTTAGAGATAAAAGTGTTGTATCTGACATCCATCTCTGCATTTTAATTTTTTTTTCTTACCTTTCACATATTGTTGTAATGAGTTCAGAAAGCTGATTCTACAGACGAACCGCTATAGTTTGCTCAGAACTTTTTCAGCTTACTCTGCCAGTGTCATCTGTCTATTTTCATCATTCTTTGTCTTTCTCTCACTCTCAGGTAAACCAAATGTGAACAGTTTGTAGATACTTTTTTTTTCTTTTTTTGCCAAGTTCACACAACCCAGACAGAGATCCAGACACCACACCTCCATCTCTTCTCTGAACTAACTTTCTCTGTCTCTTAAAAAACACACCAACACTGCACTTTGATGTTGCTCCTGTGTAGACAGAAAAAAAAATAGGTTTAAAAATGTGTGGGAAAAAAACAAGATTTATTGAGCTAACTAATGACTGAATGAGCATTACATTTTATATACACTATTGTTCATTGGAGTCAGGGTTTTTTTTTTTTTTAAGAAATTGAAAATACTTTTATTTATCAAGGGGAATAAAATGTTAAAATGTTTGACCAAAGCAACAGAGAAAAACCCTTTATTAACTGCCAGTGAATTGTGCATGGCCTTCATGTCAGGACATTTTGTCGAATGCCACAACTGACCAAGAACATGAAAAGGTGACTTGAATGTGCTTAATATGGATATGCTTAATTTGGATAGACCTATGTTCTGAAAGAACATTTTTTTTGGGATGTGACCAAACTAGATTTTTTTTGACCTATGGATGAGGGGTGTGTCTCGTGCAGCAAAAAAAATAAAAATAAATAAATAAAAAATTCCTTGCAGTAAAATGGAGGGGGACCAGTCTTGTTATGGGGGTGCTTTGCTATTATAGGAAGTGGAAATCTTGACTGTATCATTGATTCTTTGAAGTATCAGGCCATTTGGCAAATATTGTGATGCCTTTGCTGCAGAGATTGAGGTTTGATGATCACTGGACTTTCCAGCAAGACCATCATGCCAAAGTATACATCCAAATCTACTTAAAGGGGTCATATGACGTTGCTAAAAAATAACATTATTTTGTGTATTTGGTGTAATGAAAT